CCGGGGGCGCCGGGGGGTCCCGCCCCCAGCCACGGCAGGCCCTGAGGACAGTCCCCCCACGGCTGCCTCCCCTCCCTCCCCAAGCCCTTCAAGCCATCTCCTCCACCCCGCGGAGGTGGGGGTTGAGGCAGGGAAAGATGGGGCTGGAGAAGAGTGTGGGGTTGGGTTGGGAGTTAAATAAACCTAACTGCTGTCCTCTTACTTGTATTGCTGCAGCCCCCCACTTGCACCTGGGCATCATCGATTCTGAACACCCAGCGCCCGGGGATACCCACATTTGTCGTCATCTCCACGTCAGCGATGTCATCGGTGCGGGATCCGGGGATGTTGAAGTAGCGCTTTCCATCACCGGCGTTAAAACCTGCCTGAGAGGACAAAGGCAGAGAGGAAAGAGACATCACTAGCGCATGGGGACAGGCAGCTGGAGCGCAAGGGCTCATCTGTCCTGCCACTCTGCGCTGCCAGTGGCACCGCTCAGACCATTTGTCCCCTTCCAAGAGCCGCCAGCCAGCGCTCAGCCCCATCCATCCACCAGGACAAGGGCCGGCACGCCAGGGCGAAACGGCCGCCCTGCCTGCTGGGTCCGTCCCCTGGGATTCAGAACCCATCCGCTTCCCCTCCACCTGCGGTATCCTGCCTGCTGCAGGCTGGCGGGCAGGGAGCCAGGCACGGATCAACTGCCGGTAAATTCACACATCTGAACGGGTACTGGGGTTTTCGTGGGTGTTGGCTTTTTTTCCCCTTAAATACAGCAACGCACACGATGAAATAAAAATACGAGCGAAAGCTGTGCTGGCTGCGGCAGCTGCTCTTCAGGGCTGAGGTTAGGAAGGAAAAGCGACTAAGAGGCAGCAGCCAAGGCAAAGACCTGTGGTTTCGGGATAACAAAGTCCCCTGTATGGTCTCAGCTTTGGGAGCCAGAGCACACACAGATATTTAAGAACTTTTTTTTTTTTTTCTTTTTTTTTTTAAAAATAGGCTGGGGGAAGCTTCCCACCTCCAAAAAACCCAAACCAGGAGCTGCGAGCTCGCAGGGCAAATGCACTACCCGGGCGCTCCGGAGGCTGCGTTCGCCACTTACCTGCGCTGCGATGCCGCCAAGCCCAGCAAAGTCCCCCCCACTGCTGGCGTGCATACCCGTGGTCCACGTGATGGACTCATAGTTGAAGATGGTGAAGGAGAGCTTGCCGTCCGTGATGAGGACGATCTGGAAAGTGTTTACCTGCAGCAGGGAGGAGAAGAAAGCAGTGAGCAGGCAGGAGAGCCAGCAAAAAAATGGTCAGAAAATAAAATGACAGCAAGAGCATTTAGCAAATGGGTCTTTCTCTGAACCCCACTCCTCCTCTGCTAGAAAACGCAGTTCGGTTTAATTATTTTTAACCCTAAGGTGCAGTGATCCCCCCGCCCAGGACCCCAGCCAGCAGAACAGCCTTCTTCTCCCAGGGGAACAGGAAAAACAGGGATAAATGTGGTTATTTGGTTTCTGGAAGAAAGGCACCAAACCCTGGCCACCACCGGCTCCTCAGCACAGCCACGGGCAGGCAGGCAAACGTCACCCTGGTGCTGCCCAAGCAGGGGGACACCAGCAATCTGCACACAGTGGAGGGCTGGGTTTTGCCAGCCTGACGCTGCTCTGCCACAGCAAGGCATCGCGATGGAGCCAACGGGGTTGGCTTAGCCCTGCTGATGGCTCCGTGCTGCAGGCAGCAGGAGCATCACCGCTGTGGAAGGTGCCAAAGCTCCGGTGGGATGCTCCTTTGAAAAGAAACCTACCCTAAACTAATGGTACCCTAAACTAATGGAGCTGGGCTTGTCCAGCCTGAAGCAGAGAAGGCTGCGAGGGGACCTTATAAATGCTTACAAATATCTGAAGGGTGGGTGTCAGGAGGATGGGGCCAAGCTCTTTTCAGTGGTGCCCAGTGACAGGACAAGGGGCAATGGGCACAAACTGAAGCAGAGGAAGTTCCGTCTGAACATGAGGAAGAACTTCTTCCCTCTGAGGGTGACGGAGCACTGGAACAGGCTGCCCAGGGAGGTTGTGGAGTCTCCTTCTCTGGAGATATTCAAGACCCGCACAGGTTCCTGGCCAGCGTGATCTAGGTGTCACTGCTTCGGCAGGAGGGTTGGACTAGATGACCCACAGAGGTCCCTTCCAACCCCTACTATTCTGTGATTCTGTAATGGTTGATTTGTTCCAGCTACTCACGGGCGAAAATGAATTCCCCCCGAAGAAGGTCACTCGGTACCAGGTGGCGATGAAGACCCACTGTGCGGCAAACCCCGGGAACTCAGGGAAATATTGCGCGATGTCCCTGCTCGCTCTCTCCAAGATGGGCTGCTCAGTGCTCTCCCGGTAATACACATCGCCCGCCCGCCGGTTATCCACGTCCGCCCAAAATGCGGCCACTACACGCCGGTCCTTGGAGATGGGAAAGGCCACCGGCGTGAACTGGGAGACCTCCTTCAGGAACGAGATGATCCCGTTGTTGTTCACCTGCGGAGAAGGAGGGAAAGAAATGGGTGGCCGC